CATTAGGTGAAAATTTCATGTATCTATGGTCATTTGTTTTAAAGTTACATCAAAAACCAAAATCGATTTTGTCGAAAACTGATTGTGCGTAAAATTTGCGTTTCTCCCTTAATTTTTAGTTTGTTTATCCCAATTATTTAGAAAAGTATTAAGAATCTTTCACTTTTGACCCCTCAAAAAGTACCAACTAGAACTAGATTCACTTTCTGATCGAACGAGGTACTGAAGTAAAAAATCGAAGCACTTTTACTGCCCCAAAACGTGATGAACTTACTATGTGTCTATTTTAGATTATTCAGATTTCAGACACTTTATAAAATATCTACATAATATTCTACAATTTTTTTATGATCTATAACTTAACTGCTCACAATATGTTATATCATACAATACTAGCTTTAAAGTTTAAATTTTGTCATATGGGTACTTTTTTTGTAGTGGTAGGTTCCCATAAAATAGTATATTAAATATTATTTTTGTTTTATTTCAATTATCAACTAGTTTAGAACAATTTATTTTTGAGGGATATAACTATGTGCTGACACTAGAATTAATATTTATTAATTCAATTAAAACTGCTGACAACATAATAGAAAGTAGGGACATAAGGTCATGTATGTTCCCCTTGTAATAACACAACTTGAAATAAGATTCAGATTTTTCATTTACTGGACAAAATTGCATGATGAAATCAATTACATTGCATTTAGAAATAAGATTTATAAAAGTATTAATAAGTTGATTCTAGACTTGGGATTGGATTAATCAATTAATTTTTTTTCTTGTATTAAAAATCTTTTTATTGATTACCGGGACCCACTGAGATAACTTATGTAGAAGTCAATATTACACAATAAGCGCGTAAAATTGACAGTTATTATTATAGATCCTTATAATATATATCACATTAATTCTTTGTGTATTTTAATAATAAACAAATACAGGTACATCTGCCAGAATAATTCAAATACTACTTAGTACTTTGTACTTATTTGTAAAAAAATAAACTGTATTAAAATTCAATAATCTTATAATTTAGTAAATTATGACTTCAAACAGCAAATGGAATAAAAATATAAAAATGTATAGAATTATTATTTATTAACAATACAATCAAATATAACCATTTATAATATATAGTTTGGTGCTGAATTAAAATTAATGATATTATGAAATGTAAAATAATAGGATCAAGATATTAAATTTTGAATAAATTGCATATGCTGTTATATTAGGTTATCGTAGATAAGGCCAGAGAAGCAAAACAAATTAGTAAATGCAGTTGTCAATTTAAAACATAAAATTATATGTGATACACAGTAAAATTTTCATAGGTGAATCTCTACCCACATTACTTAGTACCAAATTGTCCTCACAGTGTGGGACCAAATATAGAATAAAATGCCAGAATGTTATATAATTAAAAATACCAAGATGTCTTCCAGTCTTAAGAGGACGCCACACCCGCATGTGTTGTCTCAGTCATACAAGTGCGTAGCATAGCAAATTTTACRCTCAGYARATCACGTTTATCTCCGTTAATTTAAAATTTAGAGTGAATTGACCTATTATAAAAATTAAAGGCAAGATTATTACCGAGGGCATCTCATAGGCTTTTTATTATATTTTAATTTTAAACCGAGTTATAAGCATTTTTAGATATAAAAATAATTTACAATTTTAAAATAGTCATAACTCAGTTTAAAATTAAAATATAATAAAAAGCCTATGAGATGCCCTCGGTAATAATCTTACCTTTAATTTTTATAATAAGTCAATTCACTCTAAATTTTAAATTAACGGAGATAATCGTGATCTGCTGAGCGTAAAATTTGGTATGCTACGCACTTTTACGACAGAGACAACACATGCGGGTGTGGCGTCCTCTTAATTCATCTAATGAAAAATTAAAAATAATAAAGTTTTTCAACAAGTAACAGTCTTATTCAAGAATTCTATAAACATGTTAACAATATTTGTTTGGTCATTTGTAACTGAAACATGGCTTTTGGCATATGATAAAAACTGTTTCCTAGACTTAGCAAGCTGCACTAATGAGATACTCTTATCCAATTTGTTCAGATATTTTCCTTTATAATCGGCTAATTTAATATTCTCTCCCTCCACGCCTTGTTTCTTCAACTGAATAATTGACTGTAAGGCCAATTAAAAAAAAAAAAAAAACTTTTATTAATTATTAAACAATAATAATTTTCTAAACTTATTTTTGATTAAATATTTATTTAAGAAAAAAATGTATAAAAAATACTTTTATACTTACGTTAATTACTTCTTGTGTTTTTTGATCTAAATCATACAAATATGAACTTGAATTTAATGGCGCCTATTATAAATAAAAATAAAAATACAATGTAATTAAAATAACGCTAACAGTACCAACAAGTCAATGACAAGTTCCAAATTCTTAAGTCGTTTAATTTTGAATGAAAAAACAAATTTTAATAATTTATTAGACAATACATAGGTATAAATAAATTAAGTAATCACATGAAATTTTAGGAATTAAAAAAAATAAAATATTTCAAATAATAGTCTTCAATAATAAATATAAATGTAATAAATATAAATGTTTTAGGTTTATTATTAGTAGATATGACTAAAAATATTAAAGTTCAAAAATAAATTATATCAATATTTCTAATAGTATTTATTTGAGTAATAAAGTAGATAAAATCATTATTAAAAATTAGGTTTGAAATTTGCCTCAAAACTTTAATTTTATGATAAAATATTACTGATCAAATTACTTGTTAATTTTATAGATTAGGTTCTATTAGTATGTTCTTACATTTATTGTCGATTGATTTGGTACAGGAGCAGCAACTTCAAAAATTGCTTTTCGGATCTCTTCAGCAGGCAAAGTGTCATCCAGTTGTAAATTTATCAATGGAGAATCCCATCTAAATACTCATACATTTTATTTAATAAACACAATTAAAAATATTTCACTTAACTAACCTATTTGAATGATTTGGTTCTTCATATCTCATAACAAGATCATCAAATGTTTTCCTTACATATTTTTCTTGTTCAGTTCTGTTTTCATTTAGCTCCCAAGCTTTTTCAGTTGAAATATCACACACAACTAAGCACTTTGGTGTACTCAAACTTTTAGAAGAACAATACAATTCATATCTAAATCCTAATAAATGCAAAGTTTAAAATTATTTACAATTTACATTTAATTTTACAATATTATTATTTATCAATAAATTAAATGCAAAAGAAAACTAGACATACCTTTAATAAAATTTCCAGAATCCAATATTACAACATTTTCTTTGGTTAAACTCCTACAAACAGTTAAAAAAATAATGCTTAGCTGATTTTGCATTGTAGGACTGAGGACAAATTGAGGTAAGTGTATATTATTGTGACTCAATCAAAATAAAATAACTCCAAAATGTCTATGATTAAGTTTATATCATAAATTATCAATAAGGTACATGGATATAATCACAGAATATAACCAACTAGTCAGTTTACACGAATACAGACCAAATTCTTTGAATTGTGAATTTTCATCATTCATAACTATAATATAAAATAATATTATACTATAATAGTAATAGTAAACTAACTTTAAGGCATCAGAATGCAATTTTGACCGAAGATCTTTTTCTTTCTTCATATCTGTAAATAGTATTACATTTAATAATTTAACATATATAAATATTTTAAGTCGACAAAATATTGCATAATTTAAACTAATAATATATTTTACTATTTGAATAATTAAATGTATTCCAAGCTGACTAATAACTTAGAAGATTTTATTTTGTCACAGATTCAGAAAACCCCGTGAAAAAATTAATCTGTTTAAAATCAAAAAATTAGCATAGGTTAATTGATATCAAATAATTTACCTATGCTCATAATAAAACAAAAATAGGTGTATTATATTATTTATTTATTTATAACTACCTAAATACAAAACATTCTTGTCTATATTCATATTTGATATAATTTCGTTATCTGATATCAAGATAACTTCTTTGTGATGTTGATCCCTAAAGTATTTTTGGATCTCACGAGCTCTTGTCGTCTTGCCACTACTAGGTAAACCAACCATCAATATTAAAGGCATTTTTTAAAAGGTTAAAAACAATAAATATATTATAAACTGAACACAATCGTGGTTATATTTATATTGAAATTTGAATACAAAATACATATGATAACAGATAGTAAATAACGTTATCAACCACCGAAAATATCTCAACACTTATTTCCCCATGATGGTGTATGGAACAATAAAAATAATTTGATGTTTAAAATAAATTTTTAATATTTTTTGCATTTTGTGCAGTAAGAAACGTAATATTTTTTATCGGGGTTTAATACAATTGTACGATGAGTGCAAGGATATGGAGAATTCGTAAATGGTTCCAAATGAATGGCCATCCAATATATTTTGCCTTCCTTTTCTTCAAATTCCCTGCAAATATATCATATCAATAATCAATAACTAAACATTAATACAAGTTTCAAACAGGGTTAGTTAATATTTACCTAAATTTTTCTAACAAGAGCTTTACTTTTTGAGTATCAAAAAACCCTGTCCACACTATTTGAGTTACTTGACCAACATTGCGAGAATTTGATTTTGTTAACTTTCCATCAGGTAAAATACTTGGAATTCTATCATCACTAAAATGTTATAAATGTGTTATTTTCAATTATTTTAATATTATATAAATTCAAACTAAAAATAAATATGAACAATTTTTTTGTATAAAAATGTTTCCACTTAAACAATAAAATAATTTTAATTGTTATTTCTTTGATTATTTCAAAGACTAAAAAGGGTTATTTATATTAATATTCAGAATATGGTATTGGTAACTTTAAATTATCATTAAATGTGACACTAGTTTATATAAGACATTTGTTATATTTATATGACTGTAATTATAACACATTCTCACATATTTATGTCTAAGGAAAAATATGATAGCCAAGTATCCAAAAGTCCAAAATCATCAGCCCCAGTTGGGATGGTCATATTATATTTTCTTTTTGTAGTTGATCGGGGAATACATCCTTGACAGCAAAATCCATTTTTGTGAAAGTATGAAGCTATCGATGAAGGACAGACACCATCATCTAAAATATGTTTTGATAAATTATACCTACCTATTTAATATATTTATTATTTTCAACGATTGCTTACTGTTGGATTCCCAGCAAATAAGGATGTCAAACTTGGTTTGATAACGTTCAAAACTTTCCTTGATACGTTGATAAGATTTACTACTGAATTTTAATTCTTTCAAATCCAATGTAATTTCTTTAAACAACAAAAATATTAAAATTTTAGAAATTTCAAATTAAACTTAATTTAACTCAAATTTAATATAAATAGAAAAATACAATTGAAATAATAAAATTACTTGAGTCTTTTGCCGGTAGACACATATTCTGATAGGATGATTGAATTAAAGACATTTGTAATAGATTATTGTTTGTTATTGAAATACAGTCTTCAGAACCAATGTGTGTATTCAGGGATATAGCATAAACATTGCCTTAACAATTAAAATACAATATAATTAATATTATGATTATCTTGCAAAAAATGAAAGATTAAGAATGTATCCACAATACATGAAAATACTAATAGTTATACAGTGACATAATTCGAAACTTTAAGATGGTAGGTTTATAATAACTAATACATAATACACAAGGTTGGGCAGTATCTTTTACCTTGTATCTCAATACAATTATATGAAGTATCGAGTATCTTGTATCGCGATACATTTTTAGCCAATGTATCTAGTATTTCATAAAATAATTTATGATGCGATACAAGATACAATTCTGATTTTATTATCAAAATAATAATTAATAATAAATAATAAATAATTACAATAATAATAATAATTAATAATCTAGAAATTAATATTTTTATTTAATATCGTAGATTGTTGGAAATAATTTTTCAACCCAGTACCGGTAAATCATAAAATATAGTTATATATGTGATGTTTATTGTATATATATATATATCTGTGACACACGCACATTGAATTGAACTTCACATCCGTACCTTATTAGATATCTGTAATTTTGTATAATAGTGTACCTAATAGTTACAATGTTATAGTGTACCTTTCGCGATAAAGTAGGTGTTTTATTTTGTTTTATTACTAATGTATTATTATTAGTGAATAAGTGTCAATTTTTATTATTTTATTTGTCATTCTAATTACCTAATGAAGTGCCCATCCCCATAGTTTTTAAAAATCCAGTGACTAATTTTAATKTATCGAGTATCTAGTATCGCGATACTCCAAATCCAAGTATCTAGTATCTTGTATCTAGTATCTCGATACTCTTTTTTGAGTGTCTTGCCCAACCCTGACTATACAGAAAATTTAAGCGAATAATATATAATAAATATTAATACCATTTTTCACGAAAGACGTGATAAATCCAGGATCTATTAATGAGGATAAGGCAACATTTTTTATTAGGTAGTATTGACCATTTTCAGTAAATATGTTTTCAATATAATTTGGAATGAAAATTGTGTCTGGTAAAACAATCGAAATCTAAAAAATATAAAAATTAATCAATAATCACTATATTTTATTTTTTTAAACATCAGACAAACTAACTAAGCAATGATTAAAATACTTACAGAATGTGTAAGTCCGCACTCGTCTATATTTGCTAATAATTTATCCCAATGCTTTTGTACATACTTATGTTTATTTAAAGGCGGTTTGAAATTAAACAATTCTGGCTCAATCATTATTATTTTTATAACCTAATCAATTTGACATACGAGTTTATTGTTTTAAAGAAAATCAACTCATTAGAAACATGAACATAAAATAATACAACATTCAAATTGGCGATTTTAAATAATATAAGAATTCGACCATCTATCTTTTCTGTGATTCGACCTTAAGGTTTTGACTGTTTTGAGCAAGCCGAGCAATTGATATTAGTTTTGACGTACCAAGATTTTGAGCTTCAACCGGCAAAGATTACGAGGCACGACGTCAAGGTCCTAAGATGAAGCACGCCGGGCTACGGGCCTATTGGTTCCACTGATATCACAGAGCAATATTCTGATATCAGTTTACAATGTTTACATTCTGTATTATTCGATCATTCTGTAGTTGTAACTTGTAGCCTGTAGGCAGTTTTAAATTCTGTATTGCTCTAATTAAACATTCAATCATTATTCATTTTACATTCTACTATTTTAGCGGTTTTTTTTCTTGACAATTATATGGGTTCAGTAATTCCTAACTGCACACTCATCTGATTTTAAGCCGTTCTTGTTTTAAAAATTTTGAATTTTCGAAAATTGTATATTTCTTAGTATCAAGTTCTTAAATTTTTTCTTTTAAAAATGTCAACCTCTGATGATGACTCGGATGTATTACAACTCTCAGCCGAAGCACAGAGAGCTTTAAAAGAATTTTACGAAGAACAAAACGAAAAATTGTTATCTCAATGTGATGATAAAGATGCAACTGATGTAAAATTTGATGAAGATTGGGTGAGATTGCAATCTTGAATTGAGTTAATTTAATTTATTGTTTGTAACTTAAATTTAATGGTTTGTTGCAGCAATTAAGCCAATTTTGGTATGATGAAAAAACATGTGAACGAATTGTTGAATGTGCTTTTAAAAAGGTTGGATCAAACGGTAGTATAGCTTTGATATCATGCCCTACGTTATATAAAACTTTAAAAAAAAAGTCACCCACAATGTTAAGTATGCTAAAGTATTAATATATAATGTATTTAGGTGTATTTAATTTTTTTCCAATTTTTAGTAAAACTATTTGAGTTTGACAAAAGGTTTAGTGTTTATGGTTCAGATTATGTTTTCTATGATTATAATGAACCAATGAAATTTGATGAAGAACTATTGAACAGTTTTGATTTAGTTGTTGTTGATCCACCATTTCTTTCGGAAGAATGTTTAACAAAATCATTGCAAACTACAAAATCTCTAACAAAACAACATGTTATATTGTGTACAGGTTAGCATCACAGAAATTATATTTTCGTGATTTCATATGTCTTCAACTACAAATTGCAATTAATTAAATTATTTCCTGTTAATTTTTCAGGGGAAATCATGGAAGAATTAGCAACAAAGTTATTAAATGTTCATAAATGTTCATTTGAACCAAAGCATAATAATAATCTTGCTAATCAATTTGCTTGTTTTACAAATTTCTCATCTGAACTTGATTAGTAACAGCAAGTAGTTACTGGTTTCCTCAATTTCCACTGTAAAATTGTTAAAACTGATGTGTTTTAATTTTTTTTATAATTATAACAGTTATCACTGTCTAGTCATCAGTTTTTTTTTATTTCCTTTATGAACTATAAATGTGATATATATGTGGCTTATATAGGTTTATTATACATTTATACTATTGTTCAAGAAACAATTTTAAAAGTTGTTATTTTTGTTTACTGTATACATATCCAGTTAAACCGATAAAAAAGTATTTCTTAAAATTCAGGTTTTTTCCCCTTATTTATGATCAGTGCTGGATCTTGGACTTGATCCAAGTGCAAAAATTATTTTGTAGGCTCTTAATTAAAAAACAAATTAATTATTAATTACAATGTATACAATTCATTATGTTATTATAATTATAATACAGTATTTAATCATATGAACAACGTACTATGCTATTATGTTAATCTATTTATGAATATTATGATTTATTGATTTCTATAATATTTATAATTTCGAGGGCCCCAGTTACATTGGTACCTTATCCAGCAATGTTAATTATTCACTATATTACAACTACATAGATGACCATTTCATTGTGTTAATCTTAATAAAATTTATTACACTAAAATCATTTTTAGAATTTAGAATTATTATTTAGTGTAATTTGTGTTATTGGTCGCTTGTTATCATAAACACTTGTTAAATACAGTAAAAAAGAATAATTTGAACATAAATATTATGTTCAACAAATTAAGCACAATGCATATTAATAACATGTTTAACGTTTAATGGACTTCTGCTTAATTACCGAGGTATAAGTAGATCTAAAATTTATAAAATTCAACACATTAATAATAATTTAAATTTGACTAAACAATAACAATATCATAAGTACCTACACAAATTGTATAATAAAAAAAAATTTATACAATTAAAAACAATAAATATTTAATAATTTTTAATTTTGCAACAGTTGTACAACAAAAATATATGTATAAAAATGTCATCAATTTTATAGGAACATAAATTGCCTCAAACATACAATAATGACTTAATAGTTAACAATTTCACAACAATAATTGTTTATAATAATTTGTAATTATAGAACCAAAAAATTGCAAATGCCACTACACGTATAAAAAATAATAATTTAACCACCTAAAGTTAAAAAAATTAAATTGAATTGCTTATAATTTATATGTAAAAAAAGTAAATAATATTTAAAATATTTGAACTGTATTGAAAAGGTACTTTGAATAATGTAAGTACGCAAACCATCACGATGGGCAAATATCTCTTTTTCCAGAAAATGATACTATAGATCTAATGCCTTTCATGGAAGTCTAGAAAAAAATTAAAAATTAAATTAAATTCTTAAAAGATAATAATATATAAATAAAAAAAAATGGGAAAAAAGATAAATTCAAAACGGTTACCTTTTTCTTGGAAGTATTTAAATATTCTTTATACATTTCTGATCTTATATACCTCTGGTAGCTATCACTCTTCATTAAATGGTAAACATGAACCTGATTAATAACAATTAACATAATATTATACTATAATATAAACTTTTAATGTGTTCTACTCTAACTAGTTTCTAACTAAATTATTGAAGGGTCAATTTTCTTTTTTCATTTCTTGAACTCCATTCTTAATCTTACATAATGAAAATGTGCGATTACATACGGCAGCGATATCAAATGCCCATCTATCAGGAGCAGACATGTTCTTTCGGCTTAATTCTCTTGACTGAGAATCAATGTTTAATGAATCACCACTTAAATATTCTGTCCATATTTCTTCAGCAGCTTTAGGCACTTCACGTTGTGGTAATTTCTTAAGATTTTGTACTGCTTCCCAAAATCTTTGAAGAAAAATAATATTTATCAGGACTTCTACACTCATTAACCATTAGCTAACATATTATAACATGGCATTTATTCTTACTTTAAATTTTCACAACTAAATTCTTTTTCCAGGAATTTTGTAAAATGTTCCTTTCCAGCAGGATCAGCTAGAAGCTCTTTTAAACTAAATGCCCATCGTTTTATTCGACGCACTGTAACTTCTTTCCTATACGAAAACATAGAACTATTTTTAAAATTTTAATTGTTTCTAATAAACTTAATTATCAATAAAATTACGCACGAATGTTTATCACAATCCCATACTTCAATATTATCTAATAACCAAGGGTTGCTGAATTCTGGAGGTGTAAAAAATGGATCATATTCTGCATACTGTTCAAAATAGGTAATGTATCTAAAGGAAAAATGTTAGAAATTCAGTATTTTGTATAATACAATAATTATTATATGATTTGAATCAATACTAACGTGTCTGCAATTTTTGATAGTTTTATATTACGACGATCAAGCTTTAACCGCATTGCAGTTATATCTTTTTTTATAGATTCAATAGTAGGTTTACCAATGTTAGATTTTACTGGGAGCTGTATAGGCAGTAGCAGGTTGGTAATGTCTCCATTTGCTAGGGTAGATGATTCTTTATACCTCTTTAATTTCCTGTAGTCAATTTCTGTTGTTATTATAGTACCAGGCTGTAAATAAATTCATATGTTATGCTGAATTGCTTAAAACTAAAGAAATACTGGTGATTACCATTGGTCTATGTACGTCCCAAAATGCACGTTCTTGACTATCTAATATTTTTCTTTCCATACGGTCTCGTTTCTTGTCCACCTTACTTTGAGCCTCTGCTTGTAAGAATACAAATTCCCATTTTCGAGATAAAACTTTTTGGAGTTTTGCTAAGTTTTCAGCTTCATAATCAGCCAATTCTAAGCGTGTTTTATTTTGCATTGTTCTTTTGCATAAGTATACAGCTAAAAAATTAAAGTACCTATTTATTAGTTATTATCTTAAATTTGTACTTTATTATTCTACATTAAAAATGGTGTGCTATATCATGAAAAAAAAAATAGTAATAAAATAACAGAAGCTGAAATAATAAAATCAAAAGTAGTTATTTCTTATAAAATACACAACATATTTTTATTTTAGATTCTTACCATAGTCAGTATTTTCAGGTTCAAATATATTTGATGGCCAATAATAAGGAGTCTGTAATAAACAAGTGAAAATGTTTCTATTAGAGTTAAAATTAATAAAAGTCATACATTATATTGTAATAAACTAATAAGTGTCTTAATTAAATATTAATATTAACTAGCTAATCATAATATGTTTTATGTAATTTAAAATTAATGTATCTGAACTTTTATCAAAATGTTTAACTAAGCTATAGTATTTGGATGCGCTGTAAAAAAAAATAACTCAAACACTTATTTTTCAAAGTTTAAAACCTGCAAGTATTTAATATTTAACTCGTTTTAATAAGATTTATTGTATATTTAAATTTAGTTAGACATAATATTATATCTATCTGAACAATACAATTCCAATACTGTATAACCATAACAGGTCAAGTTAACTTTAATTATATTGTAAATCTAATATAACTGACATAGGTATTGATCTGTGGTATGGCTAATGCTTGATTATTATTGTGAACAATGATATCATACCACATTGTACACGCAATTGTACCATATTGTGCGATATGCCAATATAATGATTTTAATTTATTAGCCTGTTTATTATTCATAAAATAAAATCTACATGTATAAGCCTTTTAATCACTATTAACAAAATTACTGCTATTAATATAATATATCATAATAAACATTTATATTTTAAATATTAATGTACTAAGCCAAAACAACAATATATTTATCATTCAGAGTAGTAAGCTCAGCTAATTAAATATCATAATTTACATACTTGAAAACGATAATAAGATCCATCATTCTTCACATTCAGGAAATGGTCATCAATTGGAAACAAGTAACCATGAGAAGACAGTAGATTTGCAAAGTATAATGCTTCAACTAAAATTCATGGATATATTAATATTAGTTATATTTTATTGAATTGTTTATCATACAACCAACTGAATCTTTACCTTGATCATCAACATCTACATTCTTCATTATCCACAATATTAGATCGGTTCCTGAAAAAAAAAGCAATGCCTTATTATTACTATTGTCTGGATTGTAAAATAATATGAATGTGTAAGAAATTAACCAGTGAACACTGAAGGCACTTTAGCTCTGAACTTGTTGACAGTACGCACAGGAATGCCGGTGTTCTCATCCTGCATCCGGTCCATCAGTTGTTCCATCTGAAAATATAAAGAATGAGTGCTTAAGACTCCAATGAAAGATAAATAGAAAATGGAAACTATACTTTTTTGTACACTATCTGGTGCTGAGTAATGTTGTCTAGGTCGGTCATGGAAGCCGCTGTGAGTGACACAGTCGGCGTGTCAACGGGTGGATTGCCATCAGCTTTTTGTTTCTTCCGTCTAGCAGACCGCTCAGAACCAATGACCAAGCTGAGGATGTATCAGAACAATAATAAAATTGATTGTCAATTGGCATGTCTACATAATCTATTAGGCGTATTTATATAGGTAGGTATAATAACATTCTATAGTCAGAGTGTGACGGGGAATGGGGATGAACACCATTACATTGGGGAGTGTGTTGATGGGCAGGTTAGACACAACTACAGTCAATACACTATAGTAGGCATCATAAGACGTTGCGTCACATTTATGCATTTTGTATTTAGGTACGTACCTTTGTCCCATGGCTTTAAATATGTAGGAACATAGTATCCCTATCGGTTTTAACAGGACAATTAACATCTATGACGCCCGTGTGTGGTGACTGCGTTCATTAAGGACACGACGGACAAACGCGTCGGGCGGGGTGTCTGACTGGCTGGCTGGCTGTCGTTCGGTCGGTCCTGGGCGGGTGGGCGGTCGAGAGGGAGAGAGCGTTCCTGGTTCCGTGTTGCAAATTGCAATTGCGTAGTGTGTACGCGGAACACGACGGCCGTCGTAAATGCAATGTGTATATTATACAATGGCCGTGACGACTGACAGAGAGCAGTGGCGGCTGCGACCACAATAATATTATTCGCTTCGCCGGAGCAGGCTCGCGAGTCCGCGGCAAAGGGATTGGCGGGGTGGTGAGGTGACGTACCTCGAACGACCGTCGAGAGTGAGAGTGCGCGCGCGTGCGAGGGACGACCACCGGCTTCCGAGAGCGCGCGCGCGGGACGACCACTGCCGAATGTGAATGTCGATCCCGTTCGGCGACGGTACATCTTTCGAGATAACCTACTGCTTCGGTGGGCTAATTTTAAATCAATACCTACTCGGACAGTCGAACGGTGGCGCGCGCGCTGTCGGCAGAGCGTGATCCCCCTCCCCCCTGGGCACCTATTGGCTATCAATCCCCCGAGTCCGAGTGGTGCGAGTTCGTTAGTTACAATATTACTTTCATGGTTTCATCACTACTGTTGTGATAGGATTTATCGTTTATCGTTCCTTTTAGTGAATCGTCGCTTTTGTTCCAGGTTCACAAAATGAACCATTCCAAAAGATGACTCGTTCCATCGTTTTTTTCGGTACTTTTTCTATTATTATAATATCATTGTAGTCATTACCTCCGTACTTCGACCATATTTACCTTAGTTTCCCTACATTAAACCAGCTAAGTTGCATCCCCTAACAAATACTGATACCGAACCGTATGCAACCAGCACATAACCTGTTTTCAGTGTTTTCCAACCCCCATAGTATCGCAGTCTGCAGTTCTGCACAGAGAGCCCGAGGACCTATTTATATTATTATTTTAATATTGTACTATTACCACAGTCTGTGCTATTATACAGTTAAATACTGTATATATAAATATCAGTATATACCTAGGTACATTATTTGACGATAGTGGATACAGTCAAACTTATTCACATTTTAAAATGTGTAAATTATTTATAGAATATTAGGATACCGTTAATTTTTATTTTAGAACTTCATGAAGCATATAATGATATAATAGTCCTTAAGTCCTTACTCCTTATCCTTATTATAATCTATTTAAATGTTTGAGGTTTATTATTTCTACTTGTTATTATAAACATTATTAAATACAAATTAGTAACTTTATTACGAAAATAATACATTTTTATTAGCTACTATATTTTAAACCCTTTGATATACAAATTTAATATTTTATAAATATTTAACTACAAAATAATTTGCAAATCTTCGAGAATTTTGCCGAAATTTGAACTTGAAATGCTATTAGAAAAAGCTTGAATAACTACTTTTTAACAGAGTGAATTTTTTTAATCAAAATTTATGGACAAAAAAAAATTCAAAAATTCAAAAATTCGTAAATGTGAAATGTCTATAATTTCTCAAAAATACACAAAATATTTTGAAAGCATATACAGAAAATTTTAACGATGATAATTTCAAATATCTACGGTTATTCGTATGACTTAAAATGAAAAGGGGAGGTTGGCAGCCGCTGGTAAATGTTTTTCAAGAAGCAAAAAAAAAATGTAGAAAAAAATTATCAGGAATACACACTGAAGACTGCAGTATGTTAACTATAAAGATAATTAAATAAAAATTATTATTAAGAATAATAATATCGTAATAGAATGATGAGGTATTTATAAGACGCATATAGTTATAAAAAAGTAAAAATTGTCTCTCAATCTGAAAAATAAAATTTAAAGGATCACAATATTTAATTTTTTTGATCATCTTCATTTTGCTTAYTAAAATTTTATGATTGTTAACGCTGCACCTGTCATCTACAACGATTACCAATCGCCATAGATGATTGATTAGTTAGGTATTACTTTATTATATCGGCATCAATAGGTGTGATAAATCTACCGATATACAAGAATAATATAATTATATAATGAGTTGTTCTTATTGTAGCTAAAAAAAATTAAAAATCGTAAGTCACAATTATTTTTGATAAGCGTTTATAGTTCAAATTTTTACGAAATCTGTCGAAAACGCGAAAATTTGCAAGTAATTTTAAGTTGAAAAATCATAAAATTGTTTGTGTTTATAACTAAGGATTAAAAATACAACACTAAGTTTTCCATAAATTTTTCTTCAAGTAGCTAGAGAGAAAACTCGAAGCATCATTATAGGAAAAATTTTAAGTGCGTTTGAATTTAAAWTTTTTACGRAATAGCGTAACGATAACGATTTATCCTCTAATGATTTTAAATATTTGTTATTATTCAAAAATTATAAGTCGTAGATACTTGAAATTTTTCCTCATAAGTTATTCTTATAATGATTAAAAACATATAAGAATACATAGGCACAATTATTTTTTATTAGCATTTGAAGTTAAAATATTGACAAAAATTTGTCAAAACTATGAATATTTGCAAATTATTTTGAGCGTTTGAGTTTTAAATTTGTATAAAATCGCGTAACGATAACGATTTATCTTCAAACCAGTTAAGTATATATCTATGATAATATAAGGTATTATGAATTATGATAACTACATGCATGCTGCAATGTTTTTGGAAAAACTAATTTATCATGCCTTATGGAAAATGCGTCCTGATTGAAAAATAAAATATTTGTTTCAAAATAGAATATATGACAATATTTAAATATAATATATCCTAAACTGATAAATCACCTCCGTTCAGAATCGTTTTTCGTATACAATGATACCTATCATTGCATTTAAATTTAACCTACCCTAGTCAGAGGTCCAACCCACCCCCTAATGTACAGCAGAGCGACATCCACTTATCCGCTTTTTTTTCTTGCACTTAAGATAGATAGGTACATTTGATCAAAAAAAAAAGGGCTTGAAACTGAAATGATACATTTTAGTTTCGATATTGATTTTAATTTCTGGTTTTTGAATTTATTGGTTTCTAGCTGTATCACTTTTAAATATCGATTTTCATGTTTAAATTTCATTTATATATAACGATTTACACTATTTCCAGTTTCTGTTTGGGTTTAAATAAACACCGATTAAACTATTTTGGTTTTTAAGACCGTTATTTACTTTAGGTATCAAGAATATATATATATTATTATTCTCTAAATAAATTTGTATATAAAAGTCGTACTTAATACTTTCAACATATAAAAATCTCATTAGATACTAAAATAGTTTTCAATCTTTATCCATTCATGCGTATTTACCGCATTTAATTAAAAATCACTAGTGTACCATGTATGTAAATATATATTTTGTATGAATATTTTAACTTTACACCACTCTACAGTAACTGTCAGTAACGTCAAAGATGTGCAATAAACTACAATCAATTAAACAATGATAGTATCGTATACCGTATACCAAACATTTAAAACTTTCAGACATTAAAGCAAAGAACCAGTACCTAATTGGCAATGTTAAAATTATTAATTAATGTTAACTATTAATTTTGTGCACAGCAATAGAAGAAAATGTTCGACTTTGCATTTTACCATCTAGTATAAGTTACCTTTATAGTTTATAGAYGATACAGTAGATTTGATGTATTATTATATTATTATATCTTACCTATTATATTGATGTATATCTATTCACTGATATATATACAGAGTGATTATTTTAAGTGGGTACACTAATTATCTCGAAAAGTATT